TTGCTAAAATAATAAAAATGTTACTAGTAAAGTCTGAGTGCCAATTTTGTACAGAAAATACCAATCATTCACTACTTTAAATAATAATACGGACAACCATCAATTTTCTCAGAAGTGAGCGGTGAGTAATAATGGTGTGGGACGTAGTAGAGAATCAACTATTACAAGAAACAAATAAGTTGGAAAAATTGCCACATTTGAGCAATAGGGTTGGATGAATCATGAATGTGGTGGGAGAATGCAGAGAAAATTTGATTAGCTTCACTAATGTGGCTGTGTGGCTTTGGTAACATATATAAAAGATGGATCGAGATTCTCTTCGAATCTCACACTCTAAGGGTTCAAGGATCCAACAATTTAGACTGTTCAAAAGACACATATATTTGAGCATTAGAGAAAGAGATTGACGATGAGATGGATCAGTGAAATAGGTTAATGAGGACACAAGATTTAAATAGAACAATCTGACTTGTTCGGTCCACGGACATCGAAGTGTGAATTCCGTAAAGGATGCCAATTCATAAAAGATAGAGCATCATGGTTTCGCGATGTAGTAAAAAAGAAGACGAAAATTCGAAGGATATTTAGATTGAACAATCTGACTTGTTCGGTCCACGGACATCGAAATGTGAATTCCGTAAACGATATCAATCCATAAAAGATAGAGCACCACGGTTACGCGATTTAGCAAAAAAGAAGACTGAAAATTCAGAAGATATTTAGATGAGAATAAACTTTTTTATTGCATCTTTTTCAAAAAGAGAGGTATGGGAACTTGGATGGAAATGCCATCCTTCATCTTCAAGTCTGACTTTGGCAGCCTTGGCTGTGCCTATTTCTCGTACAATTTTACAGATTACGCTTGGCACAAAATGGTTGGACACCCCGTGCAACCGAAAGTGCGTTCTTACTTTTGTATTTTTTTTTTAAACCATAGAACAAGTAAACCATACAAGTAAAGATTTTATGAGGACCATTCGAAATTCAGTATGAGTTCCTTCTATGCTTATAAAGTGTTTATTATAATGCATGTTAGGCATATCTCGGTAGCATTCGGCAGGTTACGTCAAGAGCAAGCGACAAATTTTTTCAACGACACTCATTATATTGCCTCGACATATATTAATATATGTTGATAGGTATGCAATATAATTCAACTGACGACAATGAATAACCGAAAAACTTTTGCGCGCTTCCCGCTCTATTTTCATTAAAAATGCTTATTTTTAACTCTGGAACCTCTCAAGTTGTTGAATCCTCATTCGCCATTGATTATACCTGTAAGACTAGAATTCAATGGCAGAGAAAAATACTTAATAAGGTAGAACCAATGTCCCTACCCTCCCTCTGCCACTGGATAGGGCAACCAACGTATTTAATCTTTTGGGAAGTCATGAAGTATGACAAATATTATTGTCAAGTCCTAAGCTTGGGAAAATTTAAAAAAAAAAATTGTTAAACTATCATACATGCAATATTGCTGGCGAATATTGTGGAGAAATAAGAGAAAAAAGGGCATGGATGTAGTGGGATAAAAACATGAATGAATTTTATTTTATTTTTAAATTTTTTTAAATCATTGTTATATAGGCACGTGATTGAGACTTTGAAAAATGGTATGCTACGTCTCGTCGACAAAAAAAAAATAGAGATACCACATAATTTGTATTATATATTATCACACTTTTTTAATAGAAAGTATGTGCTCGTTTGAAAATATATTTAAAATTGCTAAAATCACCTAAAATGTTTCATGCAAAAAGTACAAATTATGTATTTTTTGTAGAAAATATGTTATCACACTTTTTTAATAGAAAGTATGTGTTCGTTTGAAAGTGTATTTAAAATGGCTAAAATCACTTAAAATGCTTTCTGCAAGAAGTACCAATTACGTACTTTTTGTAGAAAACACTTCAAGTGTTTTTTTTTTTTTTGAGAATTTATTTGTATTTTTATTAAAGATTGATTCTAAAAGCATTTGCATCAAAAATGTTTTCAATCATTTTAAAAACACTTTCAAAATAACCCTAAAACTATATGTATTGGTGAACCTTACCTTTATTAAGTGGATTATACATAGTGCAATTTCCAAGCCCAAAATTATAAACCAGATAAAAAGCGTTAGATATGCGACAAAAAAATCCTACAATCACAAATGTAAGTATATATTATTCAAAGTGCATACTAAAAAATCCACTCCCTAGTACCGTCTTTTTCCGTAGAATAATTTATTAAGAAAGCATATGCTAGGATCTCTTTTGCATTTTTTTATGTTTTTTTTGCTAAGATAAAAAACAAATAAAGCACACAACTCCTACATCACCAGGGCCCCATATACCAAAACTTAATTTGACCTAAAAAATATACCAAAATTAAAAGCCAGAGATGAGGAGGGTATGATCCCAAATTTAGAGAGAAAAATAAGATATATTAATAGCATATTTGGTCTGTCACATCTGGTAAAGAAATATTAATTAACAGAGGTATGCGATTACGCATACTTTTTAGCAAAATATCTAGGATGAAAGACAAATAATCAGTATACACATAGCATCAACATATGTAGATCATGCGTGTACATAATTTGTTTTTTCCCTCAATTGTTTCAGGCGCAGAGGCAGAGCCATATGAACGCCAGAATAGGCCAGGACTCATTTGGGAATTTCATCTGCTAGCTCATGCAATAAAAAGTATATCGTTCATAAGTGGAGTAGAGTTTAAAGTTTCCAGCAAATCAGGGATCCGAGACTTGTTTATGCAAACAATTATTTGATTTTCTTACTATCTTCTAAGCCTTATAACTAACTACCTTTCGATTTTTTAAAACCAATTCTTTTTTTTTTCGTATGTTCATATAAAATTAGATCTATATAATCTAGAGGAAAATTCAATTATATTAAAATAAAAAATAAAAAAATCTCGTAGTAATAGTTTTAAGCTACCCATGACTTTAAATTTTTGTTCGAATTTAATGTCTTAATCTTTTTTAATTAAAGCTCATGTGCAAGCTCTATTCATATGATACAATCATCTCAATATTACATTTTATATAAAAAAAATTAAAGCTCTATCAGTCTTGTTTGATTAAAACTTTCCATGACAATAGAAAACAACTAAATAAATTTTGTTGCTCTCTAGTTAATTATACTTGTAATTAATTTTTAGCTGCGTCATTGTTCATATGCTTTTGAAACTACAGAAATAGTACTGTTATCCATACATTCATTTTTACTTCTCACGTACATTCCTTAATTATCTAATATCGAATCAAATGAATTTAAAAAAGTCAACTTCCATAAGTGTTTGAAATGGCACTATCCAAAAGGAACAGCATATCTTTCCGACATTTGTTAATTTGCAGATATAAAGAAAAAGAACCGGATCCCTCCGAACCTAAAGGAACTAAGCCTACTTATCAAATGATCCGGACCATTAAAATTTAATCCAACATCTACAAACAGGAGTCCCTCTAAAAGTTATAATAATTATAATTGTTAAATCAAATTTCAATAACTCGGATAATTTGATCATTAGACTCAATTCTTTTGGGTCCGGAGGGGATCCGGTTCCAAAAGAAAAGGCATTATTCTCCTTTTTGCCCAAAACATCAAAGGAAAAGTTGATTGCGATTAGACATAGTCTTGTACCCATTTCTTAGTTTGTTTAAATCTTTTTTTATACAAGCGTATTGGAGGGAAAGAGGGAAAAAAAAAGTGAAATTTCTTAATTTACTGAGTTACAATTTATTTAATTTTTAAACAAAAAAAAATCAAACACAAAATCTACCAACATGCGTTGATGCTTCTGTGTACTTTCTCTCTTTTCCTTATCAATGAATCGGGATCATTTTAGTTTAGTTCGGAAAAAAAAAAAAAACAAAAGCAAAAAAAGGTGAACTCACCATTTTTAATTTTTTTTGTTTTGATAAAATTTTATATATAACTGCTGCTATATAACATTGCGTCATTCATGAGCTATTTTTCTATTTTTGTTTTTGCCTGTTCTTTGTATTTTAATCACAAGAGACCATTTTTCTTATAAAATGGACTGTTAGAAAAGGAATCGTATGAATTTGGACAGCTGATAAAACAAAGAGAGATATATGGCAATATATTAAGGAGGCAGATTCTCTGCACTCCTGTTATGGTACTCTTCTCATCTCTTCTATTTGTACGGTTAAGGTTAAGTTATGTTAATATTTTATATTTTTATTATTTTTTATCTTATTATTTCTATAAAAAAAATTAATATAAAATATTAACGTGATTTAACTATAATCGCACAATTAGAAATGAATAAAAAGAGCATCATCAGGGCAGACAATCTGTCTCCATATATTAAAGAGAGCTCTGCAGTCTGCACCCATTCCCAGAAATATGTGTGTGTGTATATATATATATATATATAAAGAATGGGTGAGACTGTGAGAGTGACAGTGACAAACGAATGGTACAGTATATCACGTTGGGATTATTTATTTCATTTTGGTAAATGTGATTTCAGATTAATGTTCCCTTTGTTGTCAGATTACTGTGTGTGCGACAGAGAGTGAATATGTGTTTAGTATTCACTCCTTAATTTAATAGAAATGCGAAGAAGATTTGTCAGAAATGAGTTTCTTTATCGAATTTCTGTTCTCTCATAGTTTAATTTTAATTTTTATGTTAATATTATAAAATAATATATCGAGTAAGATGATAGATAAGTCATAAAGAATTTTATTTTTGAAAGAGTCTTCTTATAAAAATTTGTTCACCACCCTTAAGTCATCATCCTATTATCATTGTTAGATAAGTTTAAATTTTGAAATTTGTATAGTGGTTAGATACAAATTTCAAAATTTAAAGTTATTTAAAGATAATAAGTAGCATTTCGATTTTAATGTAATATCAACCTCATGTTCGCATCTGCTACAATTATGAAAAGTAAATAATGCAATAGATAATAGTTTAAAATTGACATATTCGACGGAGAATGAAATAAAAAAAAAAATCAAAGTGTACATAACCTTTCAATTTTATTTATTTTTTGAACAAACGAGGTGATGAATTTAATAACACACCCCCGACATAGATCGGGGCATGCTGAGCGTCACGTGAGGGTGACGTAGCCATGTGCACAGTGCGGAAGCAATATTAATATAAGAAATGCGAATAAACAAAAAATCAAACCAACTAGAGCACTAGATAAGATAAGGTGCAAGTGCGATATTAAGTGTGATTGCACAATCAGAGCATAAGTAGACTAAGTGCAGTCCAACATGATGAATACTAATTATACAACACCCAAAGGTGATCCTACATTGGTGATAATCTGTCAAAACCTCCATCAAATCCTCGTAAGCCACCGACAAACACTCATACCTAAAACCTAGAAGGGCGCAAAATAGAAAGTGTGAGTGGGCATAAACAAAGTTTTCCAAAACCATTTCAACATCAAAGATAGTAACCCCTCACTGTAAAGCCTGTATAATTTCTCAGAAAATAGAATATATACATATCTCAAAACCATGCTCAGAATAGTAATATTCAAAAGTATACCATGCCAAATATCTCAAAATAACTAAATAAGTAACTCAGGTGAATTAACTCATGAGAAATAACATATCAGCCGGATCCACTTAAAGTGCCCTGTACGGCTGAATCTATAGCTCAACAAGTATGCCTACACACGAGTCGGAACCATCTCAAGTGGTCTGTACGACAGGACTGGGTGTAAATAAATACGCTCTAGTGCTACGATCACGTGAAGACTGTGCGAATAATCGCGGGTCACCTATGAGTCGGAACCATCTATAGTGGTCTGTATGACATGATTGTGCACCTAACTTGGATCCAAGGTGAGCGTATGGTACGGGAGGTGAACATCACGTGAAGGACTGTGCCCTAACCACGGGCGGGAGCACTAACACCGGGGTGCAAGTTTATGAGTTTTCAACATTTCACATAATCATCAATTCACATAAACAATCTACAACTCACTTGGTACTTACTTGAGCGTCCACAACGTCAAATCACATTTATGCATACCATACAAATTCATAGTCTCATCATAAATCAATAGGCATGGTATTTCAAAACACATTTTCAGGGAAAAATACCAAGTATATAAGTATATACTGAAAACCAAAAGCCCACTCACTGATATGTGGAAGGGTCGTAGCCCCCGAGTCTCACTTGATTATGCTCGTCCTCTGGATAGGTCTCACCTATATGCGAAACAACCATATAAACGTTATTTTAAAGCACATAACCAAAACTAGGTACTAACTTCTCATACATTGCTCAATTGGGGTGTTTGAATATACCAACGTGATCTACTCAACCTTACAAACATCCCCATATTTTTAGAAAAAAATTTAGAGCACCCATGCGCCTTCATGTGCCGACCAAGGCACAGCCACAAGCAGGCACTTGCTTGGCACACCAAACAGAACAGTTAACATCGTTAGGGATTATTCCGTTAAATAAAAGCATATGCTATTAAATATACCTGACGCCGTTAGGAATATTCTGTCAACTTCGCCTTCTTTTCCAGTGAGTCGTCAGATTCCGTCTCCGTCGCCGTCGCCGGAAACTGGGAAAAACTTCAAATCCTCAAATCTTCTTCATTTCTCATCCAAAATTCATGAAATTTGTACCAAAATGAAGCTTAGAATGAGAAGAACACATTCTTACCACTTTAAGGTCCTAAAACCAACAGAATCTCGTTTGAAAAATTCGAGGAAACCGGCCAAACCCTGCAACTAGTCAAACACGAGTTTCCTAACGTCCAAAACACTTCAAAATCCTTCCTTAAGCTTCGTCAACAAGTTCTATGGCTCCCTAGGACCTTAAAACTCAATGAAATCTTCGCAATCACGACTAAGCTATTGTGCACATCTTCAGGGGTTTCCTGGTTCCCGAGCTTTCGAAGTTTTCACGTCCAACCAAAGGTATAAAATAACTCTTGAGCTTCCTAGGAGTCCAAATACACCAACTACAACCTCGATCCATGACTGGAAGTGTTGGTTTGGAAGCTGTTCGTACGATTATACGGAAAATGGATGAAATCCGAGAGGGAAAAGAGAAAAAAGGGGTCAATGGGAGTGGTGTGTGTGTGTGTGGGGTCCAGGTTGGGCTACCACCCAAAAACAAAGAAAAACTTAGTTCTAATTAGGTCCAAATAATTAAAACTTAACATATTTGGTACACAACCAAAGTGCATGTCACACAACACCATATAATGTCCAAGGGTATATAAGCTATTTCACACCATCGATAATTATATTTCGGGACAGGCTGTCACATTTAGCCTCACAATGGGCTAATAATAATTTGGTTCAAATTCGTCTTTAGCGAGAATTGAAAATAAGACCTCTCACTTACAAGTGAAAATGAATGCCACTAGACTGTAGTACTAAGAGACAACCTTTTAAATTTAAATTTTATGTTTAAAATTTGACATCTGTTTTAGAGAGACTCTTAGGGACAAAAAGTTATTTGCACCTAATAATGCTTTTTAGGGCGGTTACATAAAGACTCATAATAGGTGGCACTAAGTAGCTAGTTAGGGAGAATTTTTCAATGTACCAGTAACATGTTTCGGTACACTTAGTGTAATAATAGTATTTGTATGGAAAAAAAAATCCAACTAATTGTATTATGACGCTTGGTGCATTAAGCCGTATTTCCGTTACATTGAAAATTTATCGTAGTTAGAGACGAAAATATGACCCACCTAAATTGAGCATGTTTAGAATGAGAAAATGAAGAAATTAGAGAAAATAGAAATATGAAAGGTATTGAAAGAAAATCATATTAGCTAGTCCCTAGTTCCTATTCCATGTAAATAAACATTGTACAGAACAATTATTTCTACTCTCATAGTCCCTTCATCAACACACCACCCTTCACTTTTTCATTTATTTATTTTTAAATGGAGAAGGATTAGGTGAGATTAGTTATTCAGCAATGGTCTCATGTGAGACACCTACTCGCTCACGCAAGAGAGAAGACCATTACACTCAAGAAACCCCCCCCCCCCCCCCCCCCCCCCCCCCCCCCCCCCGCGTCCCTCCTCCACAAATTTATTGATAATAACAAAAGTAAACGAAAAAAATACAAGTGGAAGACTACGCCAAAACCTGCAAAGACAAAACGATCAACAAAAACGATAAGAAAGACAAAACGAAATGTCATGCAAAGGCTACAAAACTTTTCAACAAGGCAGTGTTGCCTTGCCAAGCCTCTCAAGCTAAAGTTTCCTTATTACCTCATCTATTAGACATGTGAAGTGTTACAGTGATGAAGAAAATTGGATTTACTTTTAGAGATGCTCTAACAACATAATTACATATGTCTCCCACCCCACATACCTCTCAATGTATGATCCTTACCCACACTATTGTACTTTACTTATGCTATGACGTCGCGTGTGAAATGGGTTCATCCCCGCTCACAGCGCACTCTTGTCTTTAGGTACTTTTAGGTTTAAATTTATTCACAATTTTCACATCATTATACTTTATGGCTTCATCACCATCCAGGTGTCGGCCAACACAGCTTGATTCGGAGTCCTAGTGGACATTCCAAGTTGGGGTGTGTCACAGGCGATGGGCTGGGGCCTAGCACCTAGGCGGCTAAGTGGATTTAAGTAAATATATTGTATTTCATATAAATAAGTGTCTGCTTATACTTAACATATATAATTTTATCATAAACTACAAAATAGAATAACATATATATTATTAAGTATTGGAACATAATGAAAACATGGGGAACAAGAATATAATGTGTGTTTATTTAAGTATGCAACAAGTCTCTTACAACTTACTAAAAAAATAAAATGCAAACTGAAAGTTATCTATTTTTTGTCTAAGTGAGTCGTGATCAGGGCGGGTTAGTCGAGTGTCTCAACAGGTCTAGGCGCTATTTCTTAATTTTCAAACGTCTAGACATTAATCGAGACTGTGTTCAGCCGCCTAGTGACTAGGCAAAACCTAGACGGTACTAGGTGAGAATTTTTAGAACAGTGCTCGTATCTAACCCAACTACTAGCTAGTCCTTTGAACTTTATTAATTTAGGCAAATGAACACCCCCAGTAGTACGGTTTTGAATTTTGATTCAAAAATTGTAGAAAAGATGATAGAATGTCAAAGCAGTTAGGTGCGAGTTAGGAGTTTGGCTTTAGAGACAGAGAAAAGACAAGATGATTAAATCACAAAGCAAACAGTGTCTTGTAATCAACATGTCTAAACTTTCCCATAAACTTGCCAACACCGTCACTGACTGACGTTTAACTGTTCTGCAACATCGTCACACTTTACTGATTCATCGTCTTCAACTTATATTTAATGTGCAACTACATAGCCGCGTTTATAGATTTATAGCTTATCACCCCACCAATATAAATGACAAATTAAACTAAAATAAAAGAGGAATTTTGTTAGTTAATGGTTTCGCCACGGCAGTTCGCTCTTCTTAGACCAGAAAAATATACAAAGGTATTTCAGCCTTCTTCTAGCCACCATTGTATGATTCACAAGCACCATGAATTAAATCCAGGACATGCCGTATGATACACGAACCTGAAATTCATTTCCAATCACTAGATCACCTGTGATGGTTAGGAAAAAAGGCTATTTGACACCAGCGATATGAGAGGCTAGTGTTCAACTACAAGCTAGCATTTTAGAAATATATGTAACAAATTAAACTACAATAGAATAGAAAAATTCATTTAACATGAGTGTGATTGCTGTTTGAGAGATTAGGAGTTATATAATGTGATTAAAAACATGAGATGGGCCAAAGACCCACTTCCAACAACATTGATATTATCACCCACTTGTTAGTTACCACATGCATTGTCCGACAGGTGTGAGGTTTTATTATAAAAGGTTTCAGTATTAGTTATGTTAGATTATGATATTTAAACTCTTATTTCTCCCTTATTCTACTAATGTGAGATATTTCAACAGTATTCACACGTAAATATTAATATTTTGAATGTTTAGTTCGAAAGTTGTTAAATTCAAATCATTAACTTACTCGTAAAAAATAAAAATTTACCTGTAGAAAGAAGATATTTTAAAATTCGTTTTTGGCGAGAATCGAAACTAAGACCTCTTACTTACAAATGAAAATGAATACCACTAGACTGTAGTACTAAATGACAACCTTTTAAATTTAAATTTTATGTTTAAAATTTGACATCTCTTTTAGAGATACTCTAGGGGACAAAAAGTTATTTGCACCTAATAATGCTTTTTAGGGCGGTTAAATAAAGACTCATAATAGGTGGCACTAAGTAGCTAGTTAGGGAGAAATTTTTCAGTGTACTAGTAACACGTTTCGGTACACTTAGTGTAATAATAGAATTTGTTGGAAAAAAAATCCAATTAATTGTATTATGACGCTTGGTGCATTAAGCCGTATTTCCGTCACACTGAAAATTTATTGTAGTTAGAGGCGAAAATATGAACCACCTAAATTGAGCATGTTTAGAATGAAAAATGAAGAAATTAGAGAACATTGTACAGAACAATTATATCTACTCTCACAGTCCCTCCATCAACACACCACCCTTCACTTTCTTTTTTTGTTCAAATGGAGAAAGAGTAGGTGAGATTAGTTATTTAGCAATGGTCTTGTGCGACACACTTACTCGCTCCCACAAGGGAGAAGACCATTACACTCAAGAAACCCCTGCCCATCCCTCCTCCACAAATTTATTGATAATAACAAAAGTAAACGAAAAAAATACAAGTGGAAGACTACGCCAAAACCCGCAAAGACAAAACGACCAACAAAAACGATAAGAAAGACAAAACGAAATGTCATGCAAAGGCTACAAAACTTTTCAACAAGGCAGTGTTGCCTTGCCAAGCCCCTCAAGCTAAAGTTTCCTTATTACCTCATCTATTAGACATGTGAAGTGTTGAGGTGACGAAGAAAATTGGATTTACTTTAGAGATGCTCTAACAACATAATTATATATGTCTCCCAACCCACATACCTACTAAGCTAATGCTCTGTATTACCCACAAATTAACCTAAGCCGGCCGACACCTAACACGATGAAATTACAAGTTGATTATGTCCCATTTACCACTAGGTTAATTATGCCACCTGCCTTATAATATTGAAACATCAAAGTTGAATTGTCCAACATTTTGTTCCACTTCTGAGTGCTAAGCCTATGACTGTTCCACCAACTGGAATTTATCACTCATTTCTTTGATACTTCATTTCTCACATCCCTTTCTAAGTTGCGTCTCCAATTTACTGGGACCTCCCACACACCCGCTATTAATATCACGAGGTTACCAATTTCTCCCAATCCCCTTTCTCTGTCGTGGTCATCAGCCAGCCATCACATAGTTCCTCGCATTCATAAAGGATGCGGCCCTCCGTTCCCTGTATCTGGCGGGAATACTTTTGCTCGCTAACCTTAAGTGATGGTGATGCTTACTACCCTATTTATCACCTTTAGATGAATTTAAATTTCAAGATATGTATAGTGAATGAACATAAATCTCAAAATTTAAACTCATACAATGATAATAAGTCGAGTGGTGAGTATTACCACTACACAGTGGTGGAGCAAACATGGGATAATTGGCTGTTCCTGACCCCAATAACTTTATAACCCCAATGTATATTTATCTATATATTTGTATATGACTATACACAATTGTAGCAAACTGAAAAATGAGTCAAAACATTGAATTACAAACTGATGATTCTTTTGTACAACCCCTATATAGTTATTATAAATTTTCTTCTTTCTTTCCTCTGTCGTTCTTCTCTTATTTCTTATGCTTGACCTCACCTTATGGTGCTCAATAAGTGTTTGATAAAAAAAATCTCACTCGATAATCATCAACAAAACTCATAATACTTGGTAAGTACTCACCAAAAGCTCAACAAAATGATTCAATAAAGCTTTTTTTGGCCAAAATTGTGACTCCATTATTATTAAATTATGGGTTCATCGTTGCCACTACTTAAGGTAATGAACAAACATGCACTCGTATGTTCTAAAAAACGCTAGGCGATAGTCGAGCGGTGGGCTGGGGCCTAGCGCCTAGGCGGATTTAAGTAAATCTATTGTATTTCGTATAAATAAGTGTATGCTTATACTTAAAATATATATAATTTCATTATAAACTACAAAATATAATGACATATATATTATGAAGTATTGGAACATAATGAAAACATAGGAAAC